ATCCTGCTAAAAATGTCTTGCCGACGCAGCTGAATGGATTAGCAGTGTCAATGTCAGGAAAACTTGCGCGACTACTGCAAAAACGTCACTTGCAACTGCTGCAAGAAGACCTTCGACGGCGGCGGTGCCACATCACACCCGTTTCAGGGCGCGGACTTGACTAACTACATCGCATGGCTCTACATGGACCTGTCGCGGCTCTGTTTTGGGTTCTCTGGTACCTGTGACCCATGGGTCGGATGGCCTGTTATTTTAAGGAGAGTACGACGGTATTTCCCAACGCATTGACTAAGGGGTTTTGCTTATTATACGAGTATACGTATTAAAGGTACTCGATACGCGATATGTCCTTGACGCCTGTGACGGCAGGCAGCAGTATGTTCGTACACATGTATGTAGTGTACCCCGATACGGGGGAAGGAAACGCAGAGGGAGGGTAGAGGGACCGATTATACCCGTAGGTAGGTAGGTAGGTAGGTAGGTAGGTAGGTAGGTAGCGGGCGGCTGCCGGGCTGAGGCCCCGTCCTTCCCTCCGTCTTCGTGCTGTCCACCCCCCCGGGGCCCTCCTCACCTCGCCGTACTACCCCCCCCACCCACACACACACACAGACAAAGATCCGCAAGCACCAGCACTGCGCCAGAAGTCGCCGTCCCTGAGCTCACCACATAACACAGCCAGCACCAGCAGCACCTCGACATTGAACCTCAGCTACCGACCTCTCCAAAGGTTCCAGAAGCTTCACTTCACTTCACTGATCGCCCCCAAGGGAACTGCAAGCGCCTCACGTGCGCCATGTTCCTTACTAAGCAACAATCACAATCACACACGCACATACACCACACTCCCATTCCCCCCCTTCTCCTCCCCCCAGGCCCCCCTCTCCCCGGGTGTTGGGTGCGGTATTGCCGCACCTTCGGCTGCTCTCCTCCGCCTGCCCCCGCAAGGCCCCGGGGTCCCACCCCACGAAGAAGCCCAACGGGGGGCTGCTCGCCTCACCCGCCTGTACGAACTGAATGATGCGTTCCGCCACCTCCGAGGGGGTAACCGAACCTGGGGGGGAGTTCGGTAGTTAGTTAACCAACTGCTTAATTCGCAATTTATTTGGTTGAATAGGTCGTTAGTAGGTTGGTTCGGTTAGGAAGGGGCTGGGTCGGGTTCTGTTTATTAGCTGTGTGGTCAGGTTAGGTTAGGGAGGAAGGGTTACCTCTTTCCCATCGGCCACTTGTACGATACCGTACAGCCCGTACACCGTTGGCCGCGGCGAATGGATGAGAATCCTATTAAGGAACAGGCAGATTCTTAATCCCAACAACCACCATGCTGACGGAGAGATTGATTATATTTGCGTTGCACAAGATACCAATAATGATAAAAACAATTAAGTTTTTCGACTCGCCATCGCCCCCACCTCACCGCATCGATAAGCCCGGGCGTAGTCCACAATGGTGGGTCCTTTGGAGAAGGCCACAGGCCATTGCGGCACCGGCCCGCTGACAACCCGTCCTCCAACACCATTACCGCCACTATTAGCGCCAACCTTGAGAGCGACAGCGCCGGCAGTGGTGGTCGTTTCGGAGTCGGAGGCCGCAGTGTTGGCGTCGATTGCGTGCAGCTGGCGACTGTGCGGCAGAAGGCCGCGATCTAGGGCTCGCAGGATGCTGGCGGTGGGGCGCGCCGTTACCGTTGCCGCCCTTCCTCCATCGACCTTCATGCCGCGATCGTCACCGTCACCGTTACCGTCACTATCACCGGCATCAGGGAAATCTAATTCGTCCAGGGGCTCCGCGAGCGGCTCTGGTTCGTTTGAGACCGGGCAGATGTCGGGGTGGAAGAGCGGAGCCTCGGGCACGCGCAGGCCTTGGAGGACCTGCACAGCCAAGAAGAGTTAGTTGGCCGGCTCGGCTTGTTTGGCTCGCAAGTTCAGTACGTGCATTCACGAAAAGTGCAGATTCCCAGCCTGATTGCTGTGCAACATTCTGTTGCACTACGGAAAGCGACGATGATAAGTGTTCAGCGACTTAAAGTCGCGGAACGAAGTCGCACGACTTCATTTGAAATACGCATCTACTCGTTCTGCGATGTCACAAAGCCGCACCTGCGTAACGCCGCTCTGCTTCGCAAGGATGGGGTAAATCCATGCACCTAGACTAGATTCGAAAACGCTGACGAAGGCATTGAGGGCAAACCCCCTGAGAACCGGGGCATGTAGCTCCTTTAGCTCGTAAGGTGCATCGGTCAGCTCCTGTGCAGGCTGCAGGTGCTCCAAATGTGACGAGCTGTTGGCATTTTTCCGAGACATTCAATAGCAGAAGAAAACAACAGCAGATGGAAAATGTGCTACTCCGTACCAGTGGCCCGTAAAGATTGTCCAGATGATACGTGCTGTTGAGGGTACGCAAAGGTATGCGCAGCTTCAGTGCCGCTGTCCCCTGCCGTACTCGTAGGCGTTTTAGTCATCAGCACTGCTTGAATGTATTTTTCTCGTTATTGACAATTGACAGGCAGCAAAACATTATGCATTAGACTTGAGCTTTCATGTCTTATTCAGGCTCACTTTGCCTTGCAAGAGGTACGAACCACCAGTACGTTTCCAGTATTGTTGGTGGTTAAAGGCTGATTCGCATGTCCTGGGCCGTCACCATCGGGCCGTATTGGGACCAAGTATAGATCTGTGTGCTTAGCACTTCCCATCTGGCGGCTAAGCCACGGCTCTTCTGTGTTCCTGAGGTGTGTAGGGCCCAAGCCTGACACGCGCACCTAGATCTACCCATCAGAACGCACGTACGGATGTTTTCGCAACCCATAGATTGCGGGATTCCTAACAGGCTTATAGCCGGGCTGGTGGGCATTTTGCCAAGCTGTCCCAGATGTCACGCCATTCCGAACGGGCAAGCGGTCCGGTCTCAAGCGACTTCAGTATCGTGGGCATGGCCAAAGCTTCAGCACATGTCATGTGATGCGCTGCGTTCGTGCGGCTGTGATGTCATTTCATGCGATCATTTCATGCCTCTCCTGGTTTGATTTAGTCACAACGGTCGTGCAAATGGGCTCAGAATTCAAAATGTCAAAGAGTCTTTAGCTTGGTTTTGGTATCTTTTTAATGCCATCCTGGGCTGCCTCAGCGTTGCCAACAGGGGCATAATGAGTTCGCATATCTTAACCTTTCACAGTCCGGTCATACACGGGTAAACATCCAAAACTGGGCATAGGAATCGGTGGTAAAATTATGCAGCTTGATGATTAGTCCATAGCAGTCCCATGGTTGTGGTTTTTGATACCGATACTTCACAACTGCGGTTCTTATGTACGAGTTGGTTGACCACCGTTAGGAACCCAACCATGATGGCCTCCGTGAGCCTCTGAGTCCCGACAGTGCAAAAGTCTCGAATCCATACATCAAGTTAGACACCCTGATTTACGTTTTCGGTGATGATGTCAGAACTAGGAAGGACGCAGCAGCTCAAGGTTGATTCACGTGGATTAACGTTTGTGCTACGGTCTCGAAAGCGCAAGCTTTGGGGTTACGTGCAGTTCCTGATCCTGGACGCTTTCCTTATGAGTAGTACATTATGCGGCTGTGCAATACCTATATGCAAAGGGTGCATGCTATGTCGTTCTGTGGAGTCACCCCGAAACCAAGAAGGTGGTTTCCCACAAGTTTCGGCAACTCAGCAACATCTTTTACAGAGCTTCAGACAAGTATTTGTACTTCACCTCCAGACTAAAATAACAACCTCGCCTTTGTGATAGCCCTTTCGCCCAGAGATACGCAACCACATAGTTGCACTCTTACCATAGCCAGCCCTTGCTGAGGGCATGGCGCGCTGCCCATTATTAGCTACTCCTCAGTCGTTGTCGCTGCCGGGTGTCGTTGGACCTGTCGCGCACCGAGCGAACCCTCTTCTTCCCCATCTGCACTCCTGCACGCTTTACGTTTGTTCTGGGCCTCGGTGGTTATTTCTAACTCCTCGGAGATGTTTCCTTGACGCCGGTCGCGGCCCGTCAAAAACGCTCGCGCGCTCAACCGCCCGAGAGCCGGGAGCTTCATCGACATCATCGGAAGGCGACGCGGCAGGGGCCCGTCCCAGTTCAGATCCCAGCAACTCCGCCTCAAAACAGCAAGATGAAGATTCACATGGCTCGGACAGCGACGCCGGTCCGAGCACCAGTGGTTCCTCGCAATCCTCGCCCTCGCCATCTCCAACCCCCAGCAGCAGCCGGCCCCAGCCACACCGGCACCAACACCAGCTCCGGGGCCCCTTTGCCTGGATAGCGCGCCTTTTTTCGCTTCCACAGGCGCAGCTGCCTCTCCGCATCGCATTTAACGTGGCAGTCCTGTTTGCGCTGATGCGCCTGTGGCCGGCAGGTCGCGGCGCTGGGGGGGACGTATCTGAAGAGGCGGTCTTAAAAATGGCATACTCTGATTTCGTCAGGTACGACGGGCACGTTTCCCCACCTCGACCGCACACCACCTCACACCGCCTTCAAAACCTTTGTAGCTAGCCTTGCCGCTGCTGCCTGCCTTGCTAAGCACCCTTATTTCTCTAGGGATGCAGCAGGAAAAGTTAAAACTTAAATAATATTCGATGTAATGGCGTGGCGTGTCCCACGGCCGTCTGCCTCTGCTGTTCGCGTCCCCCTGCCCCCCGCGACCCCCTCTCGAGCCCCAGGTGCGCCAAGTCCAACGAGGTGGAGCTGGTGGCGGTGGATGGACTTAAAGTCTTTTTCACACTGCGCCCCTCCAGCCCCCTGCTGCAACAGCGCCGAATGGCACAGCAATACAACAACCAACCTAACTACCCGCCCCAGTCCCAGCAACAAATGCAGCAGCAGCAGGAGGTACAGCGGACAGGAGCAGCAGCGGCAGCTGTCGCCGCCGGGACGGCGGCAGCAACGGCGGCGCCCAGCCCTGCCGCTGCCGGCGCAGCCGCGGCAGCGGCGGCGGCCGCCGCCGCCCAAACCCCCGCCTACTTCTACACCGTTCGCCCTGCTGATTACGCCATGCCGTACGATTATTTGGAGGGCAATGCGGTGCCGGTCTCCGCTATTGAGCACCGAGAGAACCGGCTCTTGACTCTGTTGGGCTACGTGCTGCTGGTGGCGGTGGTGCTGTCCACACTCAGCCGGCTGCCCTCCAGGCAGGAGGTGGGCAGGAGCCCCGGCCGCAAGCACCGACCGGCCTCGTCACCGCCGTCGTTTTCGCCGACCGGCGGGGGCGGCGGCGGCGACGGCGGGCCTGTGAGTACCACGTTTGCTGACGTGGCGGGCGTGGATGAAGCAAAGGAGGAGTTGCAGGTGTGCGTCTGTATATATATACACATGTGTACGTACTTGTGTTTGTCTTGTTGTATGTATGTCGGGAGGGGGAGGGAGTTGAATGTGGGTCGGCAGGGAGGGCGAACAAGAGGGCTCTGCCGAGGGAGGCCGAGGCCGCCGAGCTACTACCCCGCGGTGGCTCCTCACCGCACGGCCCTCCCTGGTGCACACGGCTCTGGGGGCTGGGCGCTTTACCAAGCGGCTGTCCAGCCACCTGCTACTTGGGTCATGGTCAGACAGTCTCTTGAGACACCACATACACCCACATGGGAGGGCGGGGGGTGCGGGCTGGGGGCCTGGTGTGATGGAAAGAGTGGAATCGGAGGGTGGGGAAGAACGGGGGGACTTAAGGATGGGGGCTGGCTGAAAGGGATGTGCGAGGCAGGCCCTGCGGCGGCAGTGGTTGGGATTCGGTTGGTGGTTGGGGCCGCTGCGGAGGGGGGGGGAGTTGCGGATAAGAGGTCTTGGGCACCGGGGAGGAGTGTGTGTGTTTTGGTGTGTGTGTGTGTCATCTCACCTCACCTGACAGCTCCCCCCCTCACCCCCCTCATCCCCCGGCCGTGTAGGAGATAGTGGAGTACCTGAGGTCCCCGGAGCGCTTCTCCCGACTGGGAGCCCGACCGCCTGCCGGGGTGCTGCTGGTGGGTAGGGGGGGGGCAGGGTTAGGCGGGGAGAGATGGAGGCGGGCGGTATCATCGGAGTGCTTCACGGCCGTGTGCCATTGTGGTGGCGGCTGCTGGTGGGGTTCCCTCCGTTCAGTCCCGCCCTGTCCACCTCTCTGGGCTGTCTCTTTCCTTCGCCGTTCCCTCCCCCCCTCTCTCCGCCTGCGTGTCTATAAGCCCCCGTCTTCCCCCCCTCCCGGGCCCCCTCCCGGCCTCCCCCCCCGGCAGGTGGGTCCCCCCGGCACGGGTAAGACCCTGCTAGCCAAGGCGGTGGCGGGGGAGGCGGGAGTGCCGTTCTTCTCCATCTCCGCGTCCGAGTTCGTGGAGCTGTACGTGGGGATGGGCGCCATGAGGGTGCGGGAGCTGTTTGCAGGTAGCCGTGGGAGGGGGGGGAAGAGGGAATCACATGCTGCAAGGAAATCAGGTAATGAATGAGCTGCTGTCGGCGAAAGGCGTCCAAGAGGTCCGGAACTGCCCCTAGGCCTAGGAAGGGAGGGAGGGAGCCCTAAGCGGTGTGATGTCACCGACCCCCCGGGGTCCCGGAAATAAAGCCCCGTTGCGTTACGGACCACTCTTTGGTGTAGTGGCCGTCATTGTCGACGTCTGTCCTCGAGGGGTTGCCGTGGAGGTCCTTCAATCCATCGTAACTCAGACTGACGAGGGACCGGAGGGTGAAAGGGGGAGCTATGTGTGGGCGGGTGTGTGTGTGGGGGGGGAACGTGGTGGCGAGCAGTGGCGGAATGGGACAGGGGCTCAGAGATTCCTTGGGGCATGTGGATTTTGCATTCTGCATATGGCCCTTCCCCTCCCGACGTACGGCATGCACATGCACTGCCCCTCTTCCCGCCTTCTTCCCCCCCCACCCCTCCAGCCGCTCGCCGTGAGGCCCCTGCCATTGTGTTCATTGACGAGATTGATGCCGTGGCCAAGGGGCGGGACATGAGGTTGAGATCTGTGGGTGAGTGGTGGTGGGGATTTGGGGTTTGGGGGGTGGGATGGGGGTGAGTGTGAGGGGTGGGAGGGGAGGATGGAAGGGGTGGGTGGGGTGGGTGGGAGGGGAGGATGGAAGGGGTGGGTGGGGTGGGTGGGAGGGGAGTGTGGAAGGGGTGGGTGGGAGAGGGGTGGGAGAGGGTTGGGATGAGGGGCCCCTTCGGGGCGCTTTCGGAGGGGGCCCGAAGGGCTTTGCTATCGTACGACAATACAAGACCGTCCTGCCTGGCCGCCTTGGGTTTCTCCTGAGCCATGTCATTCGGCACCCGGCCCCTTAGCTGGGCCCTGCAGCCGAGTCAAATATC